ACCAAGTGTCATCCGTTTTTGTTGGTTGATTTTTCTTCCGTCCTATCCGACTTTTTCCTGTTTCCATTGAGACGTTAACAAATTTGCCTCTTCAAATCATCCTTCGAAAAAGCTAGAATCACAGAAATCTGTTAAAATAGAATACACGTGCATATGTACGACAGAGTACATACCTGGCATTGGACGATGACAAATCACGATTTATAATACGATACAACTTTCTATTAACATCCTTTGGAATGATTCTAACAAATTTTAATGAAACCACCCACGTCGTTCAGAAATCCACTATGTAACTCAGCGTACCATATACGTGTTTTACTGTTCCCACAATGATCAAGACCGAAGCAATGGACAGGAACACCATGTGCAACAAAGTACATTCAGGCTCATATAATATTACAGTGTATTCGGAATGTTAAGTGCTTGACGGCAATGTTTAAAGTGTGCGTAACATTAACACTGTAAATCACAGATAATATTCGTTACCATTAAGTATATTTTGTATCTATTTGAAAAATACTTTAATCGTGTATGTTAGTGGAAAATAGATTTGTTAAAAATCCATTCCTTTAAGAAAACTTACCTAAACTACGGTTAAAATACTAACAACAGAGAAATATAATGTAATTCTCTGAATTCTGATTTGTAATGTTATACAGATTCATCATTTAAATATTGTCATTGATCAATTAACACTCCAAACACTTTGCAAACTTGTAAAATAATTTAAGTAAGGTACAAGATACGCTAATTTACTTAGTGGATACACAATCCACTATACGAACTAGATCATTTCGTTTCAATTGAATCATGAAAAAATATCAACATATATACCAACGGTTCAAAAGGAAACGTGATTTTGCTAAAATAACTCGGTTGATGAGGAGTAATCAATACATCGATGTTAATACAACGATAAATTATTCATTTGATTTAAGCTTAAAAATTTATGGCTTGCACATATTATATGGATCATTGTCACAGTTATTTAATTATTCCTTTGTTACTATAGTATACTAAGAACTAAGATATATTTAATTAAATAAACAAAGGATTTTTTTCCTCCGACATCGCTTACCTTGTTAGAAGTATCCGATGACGGTGAAAATTAAATTATACAAATTAGATGGTATCATTCATGAAACATCAAGCATCTTTTTGTCAGTCACCCAGGGTGTCCTATAACAAAATAATATTTCGCAAAGCATCAAGGATAAAGCATTGTTATATACCAAAAGAGAACGTTCATGATTTTGTAACAAATGCATGAAGTATGGATACTTATCTGAGCTTATCGATGATTCGTTACTTGTCGAATCGGCACTATTCCTGTCCGATATTTAAAAATAATTTTGTTTTTAAAACTTTAAAATATGCACAACACAACACCATAATCGCACACTCCTAACCCCACACGCTTGGGACTTATCTAGCAACCGTCGTGGCACACTTGCAAAAAAAGACAAGCTGGCGCCATCTGTCATGTAAACAAGAAAACGGATGTGCGAAGATGACGACGGAAGTGAATTACAACGAAATCTCAGAATACTCGAAGACCTGCACGTATCAACGAATATTTCTGTGAAAATAACTTCAGCATACTTAAATGTACGATGAATGAAATCCTTAAAATGTCCCGATTGAGATACACTTATTATAGAGGGCGTAACAGAACTCGTAGTCACGGTTCATTCAGCGCTATCATTGTTGAAAAAGGAGCCGAAAAGTTCTGTACTATTTTTTCCTAAGGTGCATAAATTTCCTGTAATAATTAAGTGATGCACAGCCAATAGCGTTCCCGAACGGAAAGCACAGCGCAGAGAACGCCGATAAGGCTCCTATGCCGCGGACAGCCAAACGCAACCCTGCGCTATGCCTTTCGTTCGGGAACGTGATTGATTGGCTGTACTTCACTTAGTTATTGCAGGAAAAAATAGTGCAGGACTTTGCGACTCCTTTTTTAACAAGGATAGCGCTGTATGAACACAAGACAAAAGTATCGGTGGTATTGCAGTAGATTTTTCCGTACCAACGAAAACATTACACTGCTTTGTACGAAAAGCAGAAGTCAAGCAGATAACGATCGAATGAAATTGCAGCATGCAGAATACTCCAAACAGAAGTAAACTTTTTCTGACGAGCAAGAAAGTTTGTGGAATGATCGTTTGGTCAATGCTTCTGACATATATTTTGGTTTAACCCCAAAGTAGACACGAAATTTCGTATATTTATTTGTCCAAGCCAATAATATCAATATTTATTATTATGTCTAAAATATATAATGTTGCGTATTTATAAATGTATATTTTGTTAGTGTTAATAATGAAAAGAATATTTTAAAACTTGTAACTTGTTATTTTCGATTGTATACGAATTTCGTACGGATCTATACGCCGTGTCAATTTACCCCAACTGATGCCCCGGATACGGGACAAGTTGTCCCACCACACCGGCGTGCGTAAATAACTTTTCTTCCATTTTTTCTAAAAGATTAAAGAACTTCGGACTGAAATTATTGTACCCGAATGTATGCCCTACTTTTCGATGTATAATACGTTCGAAAATTCTCATTATCTCACTCACGATTAAACATTATCAAAAAAGATGGTCAACTTGCCTCGATCTCCCTTGCATAAGGAAAAATCAAATTTTCTGAAAAATTAGGAGGATGCGAAAATAAATAACGTAGTCCACAAAGCACATATGTAACGCATAATTCTTAACTACTAAAAAATTGTGAAATGCGTAATTGCCGTTCCAACTTGATTGATCAGGAAACTAGGTAGAGTTTTGCGCCAAATACGGTATAAATCATGCGCGCATGGCACCGAATCTAGACGCCAAAGTTCGGCACTTCAATTGTTCTTTGTTAAGGGGGAATGGTACATAATATTCTCTGTGTGCGTGTGCGAAGCTGGAAGCGGGAAAACTCGCACCCAAAAATGTATAGGATGTACTTTGAATAACTTGAATGGATGAAATCACAGCCTTCCAAAAATATAACGTACAACAAAACCGTACCTAACAAAAATATAACGCATAACTTTCCCCGCGAAGCCAGATGTTTCAATTGTTTGTCAAAAAAACATATAAATAATGCGTAAAAATCTATACTGGCAATCCACTAATCTGTCGTGGCGGTCCAACGTGACCCGTGTCATTACTCGTGCAATGCTTACGGAACTGTTACATAGAACCACTAATGAAAATCAAAAAAAGAACCATGCGGGGAAAGTTGTACACTTTTCAACTTTACACCTTATCACTAGAAACTGACATTAAATAGGCTAACTCGATATATTTGGGTGTGAACATGCAGAGCTGTCAACGAGTTCATTTCAGCCCCATAAAACTTAAACGAATTTCCACCACGAGCGCTAGTTGTATGTCGTGACATTATGTACTGCGGTACATTACAGATTTGCAGCGAACAATTGGTAGAAATAGTTACGTGACTGTACTTATCGAGGCCCTTACTGAATTTCCCATTGGATGCAATACATACACGCATCACGAAAAAGTACAAAACTTATAAATGTCGAGTTCTTCTGTCGTGGAGTACAATAGATGTTTTCTAATGAGTTTCTTATTAATAAAATCTTTATTTCTTTACACGAAGTACAACATTTTTATTAAAGTCTGGCACCCAGTTAACGTAACGCTCGATGTTACTGGAATACGGCTGCCTGATGTCAAAATCGTAGTGCCTACTTCCATGGCACGGTACAGCAACGGCGCTTACTACAGTCACAAGTACTACGTCGCAAGTTTCGCCACTGCTTGCCGTTACATGGCAGCACGGTTAACTTGGGCTTTTTTGGATTGTACCATTCCCCTTTAATTAGAATTACTTTCTATACAGCAAAAACAAATATATTAAAAGCAGGGAAACCACTACACGAAATTGGTTATTATACTGAGACACTTACCTATAAGTAAAACATTGATAAAAAAGTTAATGTAGACTTAACTTGTAAATAAGAATATCTTTACTTTTTATGGAAAATGTAAAACGTAGATGACCAGACCTTGCACTTTGAATTTCAGATTATGATCATTGTAATATATTTTTATGGCAGAATATTATTGTATAAAATGTATTACAATTTATAAAATAATATAACCCATTACTTATCTTTGCAGAATCAAACGATGTACATATACATAAACAAAAGTACACTAAAAGCGAGATCTCAAACGCTAACACCTTGCTTTATCACGAGTTACATTTCTTTCAAGTAATATGTGAAATATACTAATCCCAAAAAGATTGAAATGCAAGAAATAACACTTTTCAAAACAAATATGTACATAAAGATATATTTTTTTCAATTACAATATAATGCCCTAAGTAATACTAAACATTCGATTTAAAAGAACAATCATGTAGTAACACAAATGTAATGAGTATTAATGGACAAAAGCTATTTACAACAGGTTAACGATGGAATATTTTAGTCCATATCGGACAAAAGTGATTGAGTTTCACCACAGAAAATCCATCATAACATAAAATTCATTAAGGAGCAAAACTTATGTAAAGTACAGGCATATGGGAAACGTAAAAATATACAAGTGATATGTTCATTCATAGGCATCCCGCCTTTAGATGATAAGAGAATTGAATGAATACACAGTCAAACGATATACAGGAAAAAGCAAAAGTACTTCATATTATTATATATTAATAATTGTCAGCAGCCCGAATTGAATGGTACAGCGATATACAGGAAAAAGTAAAAATGTTTCATGTTATTAGATATTAATCATTGTCAGCGGCCCAAGATATAATTCAGTAAAAAATGAAATGACAAGAGCCCAGGGGAGATGTTATCGAAATCAGTTCTGAGCATAAACAAGATGGATGCCACTCATTGACAGGGTGAATGGAGAAACGTATATTTATCAATTTTCTTTGCACAGGCGTAATGCAAATCAATACGGAAAGAATTTAAAAGTAACATAGCAGGTCTTCGACATAAATGTATATTACGAACCTTCAGGCGTTAAAATCAGTCAAACGTTGAACCCAGTTGGCTTCGAACTTCGATACTTCACAGGGGTGTAGACGGAATAGTTCGCACAATCAAAATTAGCACTCTTGAGTTTACCATATGACTAACATGACAGAAACAGCGACGATCACGGTTGATAATCAACGTCCATCCTGGATATTTATATGCAGTGAAATTTGATCACACACGGCACTACACTTTCAATATTAGCTAAACATTGTTGCGCGCACTAGTAATCGTCACCCAACATACTACCAAACATATGCATTCGTAGCGCTCTCTTCGTGTTGCTTCGGAAACTACAATTAACTCGAAGTACGCGTGCGCAGTCAACGTTCAGGAGTAATTGCAGAGTGTCCACTGGCAAGCATGACTGGCTTCCCTGCGGACCTGCTGTTCCCTCCGACAGCGCGCAGTACTAGTAGCGGGAGCAGCGCGGAATTTGAATCGCCCAGGCAGCAGAATGAAATTTACAAAAAAAATAAATGTTCAGAATCAAATAAAATTACTGAAAATTAATCCAATATTATTCTGGAGTGTCCTTGACCCACTTAACGCAGTTTTTGTTAAATGATTAAATGACGACGACTCCGCGGGAGCACAGAAACGACCCACTTGCTAGAGCAAGCACGTAAGCACGGGCACAGTTGCGAGAACACGCACGATAATCTAAAAGGATTCGGATCAAACGACAAATTAAATGATCCCGATTGGACGAGATGATTGGGGAGAGGAAGAGGGAGAGGAGAGGAGGGGAAGGGTATGTGTTTGGGCAAAGGTAAAAAAAACAAATGTGATGTACAGACTCGCGCACATTATAGCCGGTGCAGACCGCAGTACATCGCAATATTCCGTCTATAATATTCAATGGTCCATGTAAAATCTATGAAAACGATCCCGTGCGACTTTTTGAAATGCGATATATAATGCGGCATATAATGTGTGCGAGCCTTTGTTACTTCGGCAGACGGAGACCGGATGACGCTCCGAGCGCGCGCTCAGTCGTGTACATACACTGGACTCCATCGATGGCTTGCACCTGGTCCGCACTGCCCTCTCCGGCCGCGCAGCGTACTAGCGGCGGGAGCAGCGCGGAATTCGAATCG